ATCAAATGGTTTACAGTTTCCATCTTTTCCAAACATAGATAGCACCTGTATACAAACTGGAAACCTTTCCTATTGAGATTGTTTTGAGTCAAACATGCTTCATAGGTGTCTTTGTAGGGATTCTTCAAGTCTCATTCCAATTTCATCTCAAACTATCTTCTTATTCATAGTTGTGATTTAGTTTTTCTGTCTATTTCCTTGTGTTCAGTTTATAGAGTGCATACTTAGGCTTTTGACCTCCATTGCAATTCATTAATGTGCTTCTATATAATTTCTCTGTGTGATTTAGCTAATTGATGGGTGCCACGATAGGTTTTTGTTTGCGGCTCTTTTGGTAGTTCATTCCAACTTTATCTTCCCATTCTTCATTTTCTTGTTTTCTCTTTGTCAAAGACTCTCTCTCATCTTAGCTTCTGAATTTTTGTGTCTATCTTGCTTGTGTTCTGTATGAAGAGTTTTTTTGTTCCAAGTAAGTATAATTATTCACTGATAGAGTTGGTTGCCCCGGTCTCAACGAGGCTTGGTCCAATTTCTGAAGCAAAGAGCCAGTTTGCTGACCTTCCAATTGAAAAGTGGACTTCTTAAACCTAAGTTCCATGCATTTCCTTCCCTCATTGGAACAATAGTTGTTACTGAGTCTGAATAGATCAGGAAGCTTTAATTTTAATGGTGTAAACATCCAGTTATGCGTATTTCCAAAACTATAGTACTCTTCCATCTCCCTCTTTAACTGCAAAAATCCTATCAAACAAATCCAACAGCTTGGGATGTGTTCCTTAACACTTTAACAATTGGAAATATTAACTGCTCCATTGTGCCATGGCCTTTTTCCATATTTTGATTGATACCCTTCTCCAAATAACTTGTAAGAAGCGATTGTTATGTAGTTGAAGGTTTCTTATCCCAAGATGGCCTTCTTTTTTATCTTATAGGGTCATTTCCACGGTATGCCTTCTCTTTTATCTTATAGGGTCATTTCCACGGTATGCCTTCTCTTTTATCTTATAGGGTCATTTCAACTGTATGCCTTCTCTTTTATCTTATAGGGTCATTTCCACTGTATGAAGTCTTGTGTACTTTGTTATAATTTATATGACATGTTTTTCATTTTGAGACATTCTGGAATGTTAATCCATCTCACACAAACTTTGTTTTAATTTATACGACACTTCTACCATTTTAAGACGCCTTAACGTCTTAAACCATCTCATGCAAAGCTTCTGTCATTTTATTTGTAATGTGTACTACCGCTCTCTATCAATATAGTAGTACTGAAATTTCCTTTCAGGTATGTTCATGTGAGGTAGTGCTGCTTCCATAAGTTAATTTTGCCAATTATTTCTGTGTGATGAAATCATACATTTGGTGTCCTACATTACTACCTTTTTCATAGTCCATTAAACTTGGTTCTTTTTCTTTAAATTGTGCAGCTAAAGTGTGGCCATTGTGGTGAGATCACCCAAAAGGAGACTTATGTGAGCTTGGTTGAAACTGTTCCTCTTCCTAATGGCAAGGGCCACACCCACCTTGTCCAGAAGGTGACCTATCCTCCTGTTTCCTTATCTTTGACGATATAATCTACTGCTTCAGACATTTCTTTATGCATATCTGAGTGCATATTTGTTAGTTTAGATATGACACAGAGCTAGTTTAAACTGAATTTAAAATCACTGTGACCGCCTGAAATTTGAGGTGAGATACGGAATTAATTAGGATATCTTCAATATTCAGAATGGGTTAAGCCGTAGTAAATGCCCCTGTTGTTGTTTCTTAGCTCTATATGTTGAATAACTTTGATATCCTTGGAATTCTGTTTTGAGCCTTAATTGTTACCTTCTTTTTTGGTGTTTTCCCCTTTGATGTCCTATTGCTATTTTACAGCTCTTGATGCTGTATAGACTTGATTGATTACTAAGTCTTTTGTGACTTTTTCTTCCAGTGTAAGTTCTGTGGCAGGGATGGTACAATAGCCATGATCACTGGCCGTGGCCGTCCTCTGACTCACACTGATAGTGAAGCTGGAAAATCTGCACCTTTGATGCTATTTGAGTGCAGGGGTTTTGAGCCGCTGGATTATGTTTTCCGAGGAGAATGGGAAGCTAAATCTGTAAGCTTCTTCCCCTGCTTTCTGCTTTGGTGTTTCTTAAAATTAAAGAAAAATCTTATTATAAAAAAGTTGTCGAAATATTAAATTTTAGGTATAAGATTTCTTTGCCCTATCAATTTTCCATTTGTTTTTGAGCTGTTGGGGTTCTTTGAATATATTTCTATTTCTTTAACGAGGTCATGTATCTCCTAATTAACTTCTTGGAGAATATGTTCTGCTTATATGTCTAAAGGTGGCAAGATTATCCCGTGAAATCATAATCCGCCCAAGTTTGGGCTGATTATTGGCCCACACATCTATTAGCTCAGGCCATCAAAAATTGGGCTAATATTTTGCCCAAATTGGCCCATGAGAAAGCTAGTTGACTATTTTCTAAAGAACTTTTTTTTCCTGATATGTTATATATAGCTATATTAAAGAAAAGCTATAATTTCATTAGCTACATTTCCCAATTCTTAGGTTTTGTGTTATGGGAGATGTCGTGCCAGTTCTAATTTGATTCACTTAATGCAGCTTGAGGGAACGAAATTTGAAGGCATTGATTTGTCCGGAGATGAGTTTGCTGAGTATGATGAGAAGGGGGAGTGTCCAGTGATGATTTCCAAACCAAGTGCCACTTTTAATGTAGTGAGGTAGATCCAACATTGCTCTATTGTGTGTTGCTGGTACACAGAAAGGGAAGTATAACTGTTTTGCACTCTCAATGTGCAAGTTGCTAACTGCTGAAGGATGGGTGTATTGGTTTTTGATGTACATTGAACATGAACTACTTGCACGAGTTTAGATGGTTACTTCCACGAAGAAAACCATTGTTATGGATGCCAATATTGTCTTTCATAATAGCTCTTTTTAGTCATCTAATGTGAAAGCTGGTAAAACTGTTTGACTGGATCTATTGTTTTTTCACTGTGATTGGTGTTGGTATATCGATGTGTGTTCTCTAGATTGCTTCTTATGCTCTTCTTTCTCTCTCTGCTGTCTAGTTGGTTTTACTTCTCTCCTGGCCGGCCACATGGCGTGTAGAGTTGCTTGATTGATTGAGCTCTTTTTCCTTTGTCCATTGTGAGAAATACCCACTCAATACGCTGCGTCCTTGCCATTTTTTGAATGGAAATATGCAAGTGCATTGAGCATGGGAATCATTCATCGTGTTTCGAAAGTTTTATTGGTTCTCAGAAATTTTCCAGTTATTCATATATGAAAAATTAAAACAGAGTAAACAGAAGTCAATGCTGCATAAAGAAAATGGATCCTCCTCCTTAGCATCCTCTTCACGGCCTTGTCCTGCATAAGAGCTCGCCTTATTATATATGCTTGAGGTCCTGATTGGGATTTTCTGGGTTTGTTATCTTGGAGAACCCATTGAAGTCGAACACTGGCAGGTTCCTTTCTCACGAGCCATGATGAAATGGATGAATGCACACCCGTTTCTGCTCTTGGTATGTTTATGGCATAGAGATGGCAATGGTGCTCGTCAAGTGTGACGTACCCCTTAGTTAACGCTCTGGAAGGTTGTGAACTAGCTCATTTTCAAACCTGGGCATCCGGCGATGTCTGTGCTCGTGCTGCTTCTTGTCGACTTACATTTTGAGGAGCTTGCATGGGAATCATGAATCCTGATTGATGTGAGGAGAGAAACATATCAGCTTTCCCAATTGATAAATTACATGAAAGATTACAACCAAGATAAAGTGACAAGAACGTCATTATCATGCATGATGTAATAGTACAATAGAAACATATTTCATTAAGAAAATAAAGGAGAAGATCTGGCAATTGCTAAGACCGGGATAAAACTGTAGAGTTTTCCCATAACATGCTTGACCCATGAAAAAAGATATAGGCTCGCACTCAAGGGATGTGTTGAAAATATAATTAAGAAAATAAATGTGTATTTACTCTAATAGCTTAAATACTATAGAAGAAATAAATTACAGCAAGAGTATACCTTAGATGAAGCATTAGCATTCTTTCACCTATTCAATTAGTTCCTTCCAGGAGGTACCAAACCAACTTATGTATGCAGATTGAGGACCCTGGGCAGAAAAATAATAATGAGAATACACGAAAAGGAAACGTGAAAAACAGAGTTTGCAGCCCCAGAAACTGAGTTTAGACTGAGTTTAGGGAGGCTGTAGAACAAGAAGTGGTGGGGGATAATAAACAAGTGTCTCCCCCATTTAAAAAAAGGCGGTGAATAGGTACATGTCTTCAGCAGAGAAGAAAAGAAACTAATTAAGAGAGCTCCCTATTGAGACATAAATTATAGACCAATCAAAACAAATACATTAATTGTAGATGAAGCTTAATTTCTATGTCCAAGTCTTAACTAGACCAAGATGGTCCATTTTTTTCCCCCATAAGCACAAGTCAGAGAGAGCACGCACAGAGAAGTGACATTGAGGCCTGAGCACTAATAATAACCCGCCAAAAATACAGTGTTTGACGAATGCATTAACAGAGATTCTTCTTTTTAAATTTTTGATGCATTAATAGATTGAAGACAACAAAACTATTTACATCCCTGCATGAGTTCTGACCTTGATTGTGGCTTTTTGTCCACTTGTATCGACCATCTTTCACTGGCTAAAGTTTCTTTTACTAATCAACTGAAAACGGAAAAGAACTAACCGCATCCAGAAGAAGTATTGAAGTTAGAGAAAACCATGTTTAAGCAAGATAACTGTGTTCTACACCGTTTCCAAACTCCAGTATTTAACAAGGACTGGCCTCACTTCTCCAACGTAAAAAAATTGCCAAGTGCTCCAAATGAGAACTCCAGTAATTAACAGACTGGCACTTTTCCAACGTAAAAAAATTGCCAAGTGCTCCAAGTGAGTCTCACTGATGAAGTTAAATCCTTAGCAAGCTCAGTTATTATGTGACCTGGATATCTTTATCCGTTGCTGAAACAGTACGAGACACTTGGATATTCTGACTCTAGAGATCAGATTCAACAACAGCAGATATAATCACGAATCATCAGAAATACGTTATCTAAATGGTTTCTTAATCAGACAAAGGCTCCCTGACCATAAGATTTAGTTTCTCCTGAAGGAATTCAAGTACATCTTCTCTCTCTTCCTTGAGAAGTAGTTTCCTTAATTTTTCAAATGTCATCCTACCAGGGCGCATTCCTTTCTCTATCATCTCTTCCATCAACACACAGGCACCAGGGGCATCTGCATCGTCGCACAATCCATTGACAAGTGCAGAAAAAGTATGCATGCTGGGAACAAATTGCTTGCGTTTCATATATTTCCACACTTTACGAGCCATCTTCATCTCATTCTTCTCACAAAACATCTTTATCATCATAGTATACGTGTCTGCATCAGGATCACAAATTTTGAGCATCCTACGGAAAACCTTAAAAGCATCATCAGTCTCACCTCGAGCAATCAAGCCACTGAGAATAATATTGCAGGTCCTTGCATTGGGAGTCACCCCCTTGAATTGCATGTCATTCAGAACCATATAGACATTTTGGAACTTATTTACCTTACAGAAAGCACTAATTAGTGAGTTATATACAGCTACATCAGCCTCAACACCATTTTTTTCCATTTCAAGGAATGTATCTATGGCATCTTCAATCCGGTTTTCTAGCCCATATGTATGGACTAAAACACTATAAATAAAGGACGTTGGCCTGCAACCGCTGAAGTACATCTCCTTGACAATTTCAACAGCCTCATCAACCCTGCCAGCCTTGCAAAGTATGTCGACCATGATCCCATAAGTCACAATGTCCGGATTACAGCCAGCCAAAATCATTTCCCTGTAAACCTCTCTTGCCTTGGGAAGATTCGGAGCCCTTCCCCACCCCTCAATCAATATGCTATATGTTTTCGAATCAGGAGTAAATTCATTCTTCTTACTATCGAAAATCTCCTGAGCTTTTTCCACATTCTTCGATTTGCATAGAGCACTCAATAAGCCGTTAAAAGCCGCTAGGTTGGGAGGCACATCAAACTTATTCATGATATGGAAAGTGTATAGAGTCTCCTCTACCTTTTGAGCCCTAGCATATTTTCTCATGATTATGCAAAATGTCTCAATATTAAGCATTCTCTTGGTTTTCATCTCATTTACAAGATCCCACATCATCTGATATTGCCTTATCTTGGCAAGAGATCCAATCATGGAGTGGTAGGCTCTAGTACTATGCTCATAATTATGTTGCTTACCAGCCCATTCAAAGAAACGATACGCAAGCATTCCAGCATTCTCAAATCTCTTAAGGACATCCTCAACCATCTCCGGTAAAACCCTAATCCCACTTTGGTCAAGCTCCGTGTCAAGCCCCGCCTTTGGGCAAGACATCATAATTTTACAAAGTCTTGTTAGAGGATCAAGTTTAACTTCCATTGTTTCTTTAGAACTATACACTCGGGTAAAAATCATTGTTCTATCACACAATTTGTGATGAAATTGTCGCAACATGATCCTCCTTGTAGAAAGATAAAAAAAACTAGTCGAGTATCTGAAAAAGTTAAAAAACAAACAAACAGGAGTTACTGATTCAATCTTTTGGGTTATTGATATGTCAAAGTAGAACATTGTTCTTTTGTTCATTTTCAGATAGAAGCAATACAATCAAGCGAATTATCTTCACACATATCAAGAGAAGACGAATAGAATTTCAATTTTTTTTACAACTCAAATATGAACCTATCTACTTCAACTTAGGTACTTGAACTAGCAATGGGCTGTGCCAAGCGCACCAAAATCTTAAAAAAACTTCTTTTTTCCTCATTTGGCACAACAGTTGGATGAATACTTCCCTATACATAATAAGCATATCGAACGTTAATCTATGCTTGAACATCAAGTGAAAAATCTTCAGTGCCATTAACATCAAAAGGTTGGTATTCCCTCCAAAACACTAGGTGATTTCTTCCTATCAGTCCTATCCTTGGTGGATAGAGTTACCGGATACCTGTTGCTGGTAAGAGGTATCGAACACCACGGTTATCAAAAAAAATAATTCAATAACTTGGTTTCTCTAGCTAATCATTTTCGACATGTACATTCGAGATAACAAAACAACAAAATAGCTCTATTCTATTTCCCTAAAGTATACTCAAATCAACTTAAAGCAAATCAAATTTCATACAATTAAAACAATCCAATCAAATCATTAGCTTACTGCATGTTATAGACACATTTCAATTTAGCACACACCACAGCAGCAGAAAAAAATACGAAAAAACACTCTTTAACCAACAAAAAACAGCATTTTGCAGTTGCAAAAAAAAAAACATTCTGCAACTATGAGATACCTGGTAAGATGAACAAAGTTTATGAGTTTTTTTCTTCCTTTGTTTCTCAGAAAGTTGAAGGTTTATTGCGGTCCGCTCCATTTTAGGGGTCAAGAAAACCCATGTTTTTACTTGGGCCACCTGACCCAACTCAAAGCCCACCAAGCCCAACCTAAAGAATACAGTCCAATTTTCCATAACCTTGATACACAAATCAACATTTAACTACAAGAAATAATATGTACTGATACACACGAAAAATTATTCTCTAAACTAATGAGAACAACTCAAACAATTTTTTTTTAAAAAAATATTCTCTAAACTAATGAGTATTTGTTATCAGTCTATTTCAATGTACCTACTAAATTTCATGTTAATCAGAGTCCGTCAAAATATATTTAAGAAAATTGGCATTATCTAATACACATGAGAAAACACCAAATTTGTTAATTCGGGTTACATGACCTTGCAATGCCAAATATATGTGACGGTCTTTGTTTGAGCTTAAATTTTGTGTATATTAGCCTATAAATTTTTTGTAATATGAGGGACCGACTTTGTTGGAGCTCAAATTTTATGGTTCATTGATGACGATCTATGAAATAATTCTCATTGTTTTCAATAGGCAGAAAATGCTTGTGGTGTTTGTGTCGCAAAACAAAATTTTAGGATTATCTCAAATTTTCATGTATATTAGTCCATGAATTTTGCGGGTTCATTGGAGACATCCAATTATTGGTAAGTTTAATTTCTTTCTCTGTTTTATTCATTTTCCTACCTAATAAAAACAATCTTTATTATAGTTATATATAACAAATCAAATAAGAACAAAATATGAGGATAAAATCATATACTCCCTTTGTTTTTGTAGTCTATCAAAAAAGAAATTGTCACTTTTTAGTATATCTTATGTGACATTTAAAATAATAAATTTCAAAAACACTTTGATACATCACTGATCACACATATTTTGGTGAGCATTTACTCTGTAGGCACACTGAATACTTCATACTGCTAGTTTGAAGTCCTCTTAGCTCAACTGTTTTCAATATACTCTCGGCTCAAGGGCAAGATGTATGTACACATAACGTACTCCTATCTTAATATAGTAGAGACTAGAGAGGTTATTTTTTATAGACTTTCAACACAAAGGCATGATAAGATGCATCAAAGGAATAAAACACCCATACAGAGGATTACATTGTGTATACTAAAAACAATCGATTCCACACTTATCATGCATATTAAAAATATTAGATGCACAACACTTCTCAATCTATCAATTACACTTCACAATAAAAAATATCTGAATCCATTCCTCAGTTTTTAGAGGATGCACAGCAGCTTTATTGAGATATACCAACTTAAGCTTAGAGAGTACCACTAAATATCAGATTAACATACAAAAGAAACACAGAAGGTCCAGAAGAGAGATCCATAAGATTCACCCAAAAGAAAAAACAAGAAGATCTCTTTTCCTTGGATGGTACTTCGCCAAACGTTTATTTCCATACAGATCGATGGAAACATAAAAACAAGGCTCTTATTGGGTCCACCACATAAGCAAATCCTTGCGCCTATTTATCTTCTTCTGCAGTTGAAGAATTCCGTACAGAAGAGCCTCAGCAGTAGGTGGGCAACCTGGAACATAAATGTCAACAGGGACGATCCTATCACAGCCTCGCACGACAGCGTATGAGTAATGGTAGTATCCTCCACCGTTTGCACAGCTCCCCATGGAAATGACCCACCTTGGCTCAGGCATTTGATCATAGACCCTGCAATAGGAAAAAAAAGAAGCAATATGGCTTAATATTTTGACTCATTAAAACAAAAGGGTACCCTTACATTAGAGCAATTAATTACCATCCTCCTCCTACCATTTTTTTTTTTTCACAAGTGAAGAGAAGCCTAGCTGATTGGTTGGGTTGTTCAAGTCATTAATTACCAGATTCCAGAAAGGTGACAGACTGACAGGCATACAAGATTTCCTTGCAAACATAGAAGAAAATCTAGGAAGTGTACGATTATAAGATTCGGGCTAAACACACTAGAGACGCACCTGCAGCGGAATAAAGTAAAAGAACTTTGGAGAATTCAGGTGTGATACTTGATCAAATAAGGAAAGGTGATCAACTTTAGAATGCTAAATTGAGAGGTCTAAATGAAAACTGGAAATGAAGAGAATGAGCAAGTACATGATCAGAATAGCAAAAATACGAATGCTCAACGTAGTGAGTGAAAAATTTCAACAAAATATTTGATAATTGTTTGAGTTCAATTTAGAAGGGTCCAGATAGTTTCGAACATGGATCACTTCTGTTTGATTATAGATAAGCCATTAACATCACTCGCCGGTGTTTCTTAATAATTATAACACTGTGACTTTTTAGGTAAAAGAAAAAATCACGTCAGATGGATAGCACAATCAGCAGCAACACCAAGGGATCCAACCACAATAAACAGGGAGAAAGTAAGGTTCTATCCAGCTTGTTACTAAATAAGAGACCTGGAGACCGGAATTCAATGTGATTGTTGGTCCTAGGATACCATTGAACAAGAAAATAGCTGGCTTCAAAAACATAAGAGGGAGCATGGAGATCACCCACCTCTATATGCAGATAATGCTATTATTTTGTGTGATGCAGAAATAGAGCTTTGAAGGGATATCTAGGCTTCACATTAGCCGGAGGAGAAGTTCAATTTATCCCAATTAATGAAGTTTAACATATTCAGCAACTTGTTGGAGTTCTTGGAGGAGAAACAGGGGTTTTACTCGTGTTTAAATGGGAATGCCCCTGGTGGGGCAAAATGCAGGTACATTGATATATGGAATGGGGTGTTGTAGATATGTGAAAAGAGGCTACCAAGGTGGAAAAGCCAATACTTTCTCTAGGATGCAGGTTAGTAATTTATCAATAGTGTATTGGAGCTCTCCCAACCTACATGACGTCTTTGTTTCCCATCACTCCAAAAATAGGGAAGAGAATGGATAGATATCTTAAAGGAGACTTTCTATGGCAACAAAATATAGAAAGTAAAGGGTTCCCTTTAGCCAAATGGAAAGTTGTTACTCTAAGCAAGTAACATGAATGCTTGGAGAAAAAAATAATATGAGAAAACAAAATCAAAGCCTTCTCATGAAATGGCTTTGAAGATGCACTAATGAAGAACATTCACTATGGAGGATAGTAATTAAAGATAAATATGGTGAGGAAGGCCCCTGAAAAACAAAAGAAGAGATCACTGCATCTGGGCTTATGGAGTAAGAGATTGGAAGGCTATTAGAATTCTTTGGCAAATTTTCAGCAACAAAACCAGCTATGGAGTGGGAGATGGGCTGAACACATATATCTGGGAGGACAACTGATTGGAACAGGGTGCTTTGAATACAATATATCTCGATATTTTCACTATAAATTAGCAATAGAAGGCAATTACTAATGAAGTTTGGTCTATAATCTATTCAAGGGTGGAATTATAGGAGACTATTGAATGATTGAGAGATCACTAGAAATTGTTGATTTCTATAACACACCAATAAATTCACTGAAGTTAATCAGAATGATGACAAGGTATGGTGGCTATGACACAACTCTTGAAGATTCTCTTTCAAATATTCCTATCAGATGCTTAGTAGGCGTCTGGTCATAGATTTCATATATTTTTCAGTTTATTTGGACTTTATGCAGTTGGAGTTGAAGATGGAGTTGTGTTTCATTATACTTTATGCAAAGGAAAAAAGAGAACACTTCAATTGAAATTTATGAAGTATACCTGCCACCTTCCAACAACAACAGGAACCAAGTTACTCTTATAACTCTCCCACAGGCTAGGATAGATGAGAAGAAGTAACTTAGTGTATTTACTCTTTGCTGGGGTGTACATAATATATGTGCCACTTTTTTATAATTGAGAAATTCCCTAGGATCAGCGGCACACAGTTTGAAACTCGGTGGCAAATAGGCTCACCCCTCTACTTTTCTCCACTTAAATACTAGGTCTTTTATGCAACTAGATTAAAACATATGACGAGTGCCTACCCCACATATCACAAGTTGCACTCCTACCACTACGTCAATAAAATTCTTACCCGTCTCAAAAAGCAAGTGAAACATAAACAAGCTCTTGATTTGGGATGGTCAATGCAAAATAAAAAACTTTTAGATCTTATTTATTTTTATCTTGAACCAAAGCAGATTA